ACTTCATCTTCCCTCCACATTTCCTTTCATTTTCTTCCATTTCTCTCTTCCCCTCTCTTCTCCTTCCTCTCCTTCATCTTCATCTTCTTCCTCCACCCCAATCTCAACAAACCTAAAAAACCCTAATTCTAATTTCTTTTTTATCTCCACATCCACTCATCAAACCACTCACTACCCTTCACAAAAAATATTTTTACACACATCCTACACCCAACCAATAAAAAAATTTCACCATTCCTCTCTTTCTCTCTCTAACCTAGAGAGAGAAAATTTTCTCTCTCTAGAATGAGAGTGAAATCTCTTCATGAATGGCTCCATCTCCACCCCAAGTATCTTTCCTCTCCACCATGCCTCAAAATTCCTTCCCTAGAGGGAAAAAAATTACACACTCTCTCTTTCTCTCTCCAAAATTGAGAAGAGAAGGATTTTCTCTCTCTAAATCTCTCCTCTCACTTCCTTACACCTCTTAAACCCTCTCTACGCAAATTCCCTTCAAATCCCATCTTTCCCTCTCTTTCTCTCTCTAGAAAGAGAGTTTCCTTCTCTCTTTCTCTCTCCAAAAATTAGAGAAAGAGAGATTTTCTCTCTAACCTCACTCCCCCGAATTCCTACACACCTTAAACCTCTTCCACCAAAAATCCTCTCTTTCCCTCTCTTTCTCTCTCTTGAAAGAGAGTTCTCTTCCTTTCTTTCTCTCTCTACACTTTATTTTAAATAAAAGAAAAGCATAAATGCTTAATTTTATAACACAAATAATAAAAAAAAATTTGAAATTGTGCATCGCAGGTTCCTATGTTGCCGTCATCCGCCGTCGCCGCCTCGATTACTGCACCCAAGGTAAAAACTAGTATTTGCATTTCTATGCATGAAATAAGTACTCGTGACCGCTTTTCTTAGCGGCGAGGAAAACTTAAGTACCCGTGACGCACTGAGCGAGCGGGGAAATTCGTATGCATGAAAATATAAGTACCAGTGACTGCTTTTCTTAGCAGGCGGGAAAATTTGTTATTTGTAAAAAAAATTATCTAATTAAGTACCCGTCACTGCTTTTAGGCTCAAAGACTCCATGACCGCTTTTTTTAGCGAGCGGGGATTGGAACTGCGGCCGCGGTGTCACCCGACACCTATCGTGACTTCCTTTCTTGGCAGGCGGGAAGGCCTTACACACTCCGAGGCAGCCCCCTACGCGGGGACGACGCCGGAGTGCTGCCAAAATTTTCAGCAAAAATCTATAACTTATAAAATTTAAAAAAAGATTTAAAATCCACTTAAATGTTTTAAGTTAATCAAAAATAAAATATACGACACCCTAGGCTCCCGACACTGAAAAACAAATACAAAAGAAATATAAATCAATGTAAAATGCAACATACAATGAGTCTTCAAGAGAATTAGTTGTTCGCCAATAGGTAGGAATCAAGCCTCTTCCTCCTAGCACCTGATTCATACACCCCTAAGTCTCTCACCAAAATCTTCTTATAGAAATGGGATGGGAAGAAATGAGTTAAAATCCCCTCCTATTTATAACATTGAGTTTGAATTATTCACGAGCCAAGGAAGGTACACATGTGGGCCCCACCAGCCAAGGATCCTTTGCTAAAGGACGAAGAAGGTACACCTGCGGGCCCCATCTACTTAGGATCCTAAGATGCCATTTCGAGGCTCTGGCATTGGATTCCTAGGGTATTCACTATCGGGTGAAATACGAGCGTAAATACGAAAGTAAATACAAACGTAAATACACCCCGATACGGTTAGTAATTATCTTAAAAAGGGGGGGTAAAAGTAAAAGTAAAAAAGAAAATTTACCTTTCCTACAAAATACTTTTGTGCTCATTGTAAGCATGTAAGAATCCCCGCACACCACCGGTAATTTTTTGATTGAACACCTTTGAGAGAGAATAAAAAAATGTGCTCGTCGTATTGCAAGTCACGGGCGCTTTAAGTGATGTGCGCACCAGCAATTAAAGTTATGTGGCTCGTACATCCCGTGAACAGATATCTTCAAAAAGAGACAAAATAACGCACTTTTATGTGTCACGGGTTGTACGACCCTTAATTAAAGTAGGCACATCACCACTGAAAAGTTTGTCCCCTACGATCCAAAGCAAGAGATTAGTTGGTACACTACGATCCATCCGTAGAATGCAACGAGTAGTGTACAACAGTCTACCTATACAAAGTAGCAAACAATTCAATCCATGAGCTGCTACAACCCGCCACCGGATCCGCAATACTCGTACTAGCGGACAGAAGGCGTGTATAATCTCTCAAATGAAATATTGTGTGCATTCAAATTGCAATTACATGCACAACTAACATATTTCAAAATCCCCATGCACCTACAACGTAGTTTGTATACACATAGATACACTAAAGGGGAAAATACGATCTCAACCCGCACGGGCCCCGACGAGCGTGTTAATGGTACACACGTGACGCCTAGGGATGCTGCGTGGGTCAACAAGTGAATTCAAGTCCGAATCCGATCCTTCTATACGGATCAATAGAAGTCGACAAGGTTCGGACCATCAAATAAATATACGGTTGTGGGGACCGGTGTATTTATTTTAATACATTCATAATAGGCCTTCAAAGCCTATAATCAACAGAATTCACTCACAAAGGCTCAAAGCCTAGAAAACCCGATCCTCTGTCGACCCGGGGCCCTCTGAACCGAGTGGTTTTGCCGCCAAATGGCACCACGAAATACCGGTTATGGCCAGCGCCAGTACGTCCATTATTGACATCAAATCATTGAGATATGAATCAATAGGATATGATTGATAGGGCACTAAGCCCTCTGTTAGCTAAGGTGGATTCAGATTTGTCCCCTTAGACAAGCATTCACCCCAGGTTTACAAGGTACCCTTGGACGAAGCAACCATGGCTGCCGACAAGGATCCTTCTGTCAGGTTGGGTCGACTACCTCCTCTGACTAAGTAGACCAGGGACCACGATGGCCTGGGACGACGGAACCATGGGATCTTGATCGGGCCCATCATCCATTCCCCCACCATCCGTTTTAAGTACAAGATGGTGAAATTTCCATTTTAAATACCAAGTTTTCCAACCCAAATTCCAAATCCAAATCCAACTCTTCAATACCTAAATCCATTGCTGCTACTATATGCCAGATAACACGTATTCTCTATACGTATTTGATTGACGACTAGCCTTAATTGAAAGTTCTCTCTTGTTAGTGGGAGGGGTAATTAACTATAGGGGCTTGCGCCTATAGGAAACCAGAACTCAGATCTTAAAGTCCTCACAAAATGAGGGCGAAATCTCTGGGTAGTGTCTTATCTACAAACTCATCTGCCTTCCAAAATTTACCCCGGAACTTAATTCCATTAAAACTCCCTCGCCAAATAAAAAGAAAAACGTGGCGGGGAGGCCGGGGCCGAATTTTCGGAGCCCACAGCGGACCGGGCAGAAGATTGAAGTTCGCGGATCGCGAAAGGTAGACTAGACCGCCGGAGACTTGCGAGCGGCTCAAGCTCGTTTATAGTGGAACGTGCCGAGTTCGAGCTTAGGATTCAGCTCACGAGTCAAGCTCGAGTTCGGCCTGACTCGAGCTCGACTCGACTCATTTACACCCCTACCTCTAAGTACTTGTCGCCTTTAACTTTGGTCCACAAGTTTTGAAGATCTTAAATAATTTCTAATATTAAGTATCAAAATCCTGCTAAATTGCCAAACTCTTAAAAGGTGCCTCAAATGTAATGCAATCTGCATTTTTACATGCCACCTCAGGTTGCAAAACCCTCACTAAATATTAATTGAAATGTCCTTTGTCAATCTAATATATGGTCTTCAGATGTTTGTTCAAAGAAAATAGTTCCTAGGATAATGTCAGGAGTATTCAACAGTGAGAAGACAAACGGTGGAGTTCAAGAAGAAACGGACACTGGTAGACATGGATGGGAAAGAAAGGGTGTTGCACATGGAAGGAAGGAGAAGCAGGGACATAGAGGGATGGACATATGAGTGTTGGACACCATCAGCCATCAACCCTATAAATTTTTTTTCCAAGGTGAGGTAGGAGGAGATAAAGGAGGAAAGAAAATTGAAAGTCTTAATGAACCTATGCACTTTAATTCATTTTATATCATAATCACATTGTAGGAAGTGATTGTCCTGCATCACCATTAAATATCTATGTCTAAGTTGATATGCATGAATTTAAGATGATCATAATTCAAGTATCTGGTTTTAAAACATTGTCTGGCATTATTCTAAGAGAAATTGTCCTCTGCATTAATGATCCAAAGCAAAGCACTAGTAACTAACATTTTAAAGTTATGCTTACCAATTACTAGTATCTTGCTCAGTATGGAAATTTGTAGAGAAGCCAATGTACTTTGAAGAAGGATACATTTTTTTAAGTTTTACAAATAGCTCCGCCCAAGTTTTCAAGTTTTATAGATGAGAACAATTAGGTCTAAAGTTACATTTTTGCTTGCATGAAGATCCCGCATGAACACTACTAGATCATTCAAACTTACTTGGCTTGTAAACTTAGAGCTTATTGATTTGCATTTTGCAGGACTACTAGACCAGCCACTCAAGCTTCCTCCCAAACCATAGAATTCTTTTGGCACTATAGTGATTACATCACTTATCTGGCTGAAGTTACAAAAATGATAATCGTAACGAAGTTTGAACATAAAGGTTTCATAAAGATATGGGTGGTGTCAAATAAATAGGCCCCCATTAGATAGAGAAAATCATGATTTATTTGCCTAAAACTATCTTCATGTTGATAGCAGATTGGTTAATTTGAAGACATCCATTTTCATTTGAAAATAATATGATGGCCTGAATCCAATCATACTAGCAATACCTGTAACCAATAACTGAAGATTAACTAGAGCTTGCTCTTTCCCCAATCATGTTCAAGAAATCGCAGAATTAATACTAAATACTAATCAAAGCAACATTATGACAACAACAAGAAAAAAGGAGATGCATTATGAAACTATGAAAGAAGGCCTTACTCTACACTGCGCATAGCATCGTTCTGACCAAATATATTAGGAATTCCATCCCATTTTCTTTCCTGTCTTGCTTCCCAGTACCCTCCGACATACTTGTAACAATCATCTTCTGTATCTTTCCTGAACCACCTGGGTTGCCATCCCTTTTCCTGCAACTTTCTTGCCTGTGAAAGAGCGCAAAACCTGCAAATCAATCTTATCCAATAAAACTAGCATAATAGCATATCTGCTATAATTGGATAAATTACACCCATAGTCTCAAAACTTACCACTTGAACTTTAATACTGAGATCTATGAAAGATATTGTTACAAATTATTTGATTATTGTTATTATGGTTACCTGTCAAGAATACGACCAATCAAAGAGGGATTGTGAAAGCTAATCATAAGTTTTTTTGAAAATTACCACAAGCGATTTCAGTCTTATCCAGAACAATGGAAGATGCAATCAAAAAAGAAAGTTAGGTCTTCTCAAAATTGGGCTCGGTTGGACTGGGAATTGGATTCCATTAATGTATCCAGAACCCTAGGAAAATGCACTAGTTATCTTAAAAATTACATGCACACTTATAGACCTATATGTTTGGAAGGAAAGAAGGCATACAATCAAACAATTTCTATGCAACACAATCAAAATGCAAAGATTGGTGTGATTGTTGAACACGATAAGTTTCATCAATTGAAAAAATCAAGCCTTATTCTTTCACCATTGATATATCATCAAAAAAATATCTTGATCATGCACGAATCTTGATGCAAATATATGTAAGAAGTTTCAAAAATTAAAATCAAGACCATCGGAACTCCGATTTCAGCAAGCTTACAATCAAATTGAACGTCTCAAAGAGACAAACCCAACAACACCAAAAGACGTCCAATCCAAACCCAAATGGATCCAAATCGAGGGCTTGAAGCCTATTTGGAAGCTTCATAACATTAATGGATGACCAAATGACATTCAAATGTGACATGCTTATAATCGAATCGAGCGGCTTGACGAGAAGAATTGATATTCAAATGTGGACAATGATGCATCCATGCACTCCTTACAAGCAACATAGTGGCATCTTAAAAAAACAGGTAACTCAGAAGCCTTTTTGATGCAATCAAAAAATCGCAAAAATACATAATATGCTAGGTGTTTCTTTGATAATAAGAAAATAGACAAAATAGCACAATTAAATGAAACACAACCTAACTTTTATAATAGAAAAATGACGCATACAAACTTAGAATATAGAAACATCTAAAAATGCTTTTACATTGCTTGAGAAGAAAGATACAAGTGGCATGGAACTTGCGGAGAGAAGAAAGAGATAAGAAGCCCGAGATGAAATCGAAGAGAGGACAAGCTCGCAAATTTTCCCAAGAAGAAGCGAAATGGAACAAGCCCGTAAGCTTTCCCAAGAAGAAGAGAAATGGAACAAGCTCGCAAGCTTTTCCAACAAAAAACTTTCAGGTTTTGTTCCAAAAATTATCCATAATATTACCTAAAACAGCCACAAAACATCATATATTTATAGCTAAAAAGAGGCAGCCAAACAGCTCAAAAATCACCTCCGACCGAACCAATCAGAACAGGGAAAACAGAATGCTAGCAGGCGGTCCAGGAGCAGTAGCCAAAGGGCCACACAAGGAACCAGAACAGGCAGCCACAGGAGACAGGAACGGGAGCCCACAGGGAACCAAAACAGGCAGCCACGAGGAGAGGAAAAGCAGCCACAGGAAGGGGAGCCAAGCGGAGGAATTGAAAGGCCAGCAGAGAGGGGAAAGGAGGGGGGGAAGAATGAACCTAAATTTAGCAATAATTACACATTAATGAGCTGATTTTAGAAGGAAAAAACAACAGCTCATCAACAGCCCCAACCCCCCCCCCCCTTTGCTTACATCACTTTTCAATCTTATGTAATGCGTTACAATTATCTCCGTGTTTCACTTCTTGTCAACCTTTTTTTTTTTACATATGTTATCTAAATGACAGTAAATGCAACTAACTAAACAATTTAACTATATTATCCTATCTCCTTATGTTTTCGGAGTTACTTCTCCCTTTTCGTTTTTAGAGCTACTGCATCCACTTTGAGCTTCTTCTTTTCCATCCTCTTATTTTCAATCTTCTTCTTTTGGATCTAGTTTGCTTTTTCTGCCTCATACCTATTGTTTGAGACGTAATTTATTTGTTGCTATATCAAAGTCATCTTCAAATTTATCTTTTCTTCCAAATGTGCAATAGACTGTGGTATTATCAATTTAACATTCTAAAAAATATAAAATGATTTTGTTAGTTTTTATTACTCCAACAATAAATTGCATTTTCTGTCAAAGTTATTTATTATATACGGTATTTTATGAATGAGTACTACTATTTTTAGGAGTTAATGTTTCCTTTTGTTTTGAATCTGTTGTGAATGTCGTAGTTTTAAGCCATAAAAGTTTTATTAAAATTTACTAGCCACTTTTTAATGATTGACTTCTTTTAAATGAAGAGTGCTTCATCTCTAATGATGATGATTTTGGGCCTTTGTGACTTGATTGCGCCACAAACCTCTGTAAATATGCAAGTAAAGAAAGTAGATTGATAGGATTTTGGAACTAGGTCACGTACAACAGAGAGCAGCACAGTAATAAGATAAGTTTGTGGGGATCAATGTATATGGACAAAGTTGGAAAAGAGACAGGCCAAATTCATCATTTTCAGAAGCTCAAATGAATTTTGAAACTATTCACATGAATTTAAATAATGTCAAATAAAATTTTAATCAGAATGATTAAGGAAGTTGAACACTAAATATGGGATTGCTCATGATGCTGAGGCGAATACAACAAGCATTTTCTAAATTAGATTTGGGAAGCTGATATTAATTGATTACAGTAGCCTAGCCAAAAGATTGGGATTAAACTAACGGCAATAATGATATGAACTACTTAATTGATAGTTCAGTAATATAATAACTCAAGCAAACTACATTGTTATGAGTCAGTCTTAAGCATAATTGATGTTGTAGAAAAGACAATTCAGTTCCTAATCCAGACTTCCACTGAATATACATTTAGCCAATTGAGCACAAAAGATTAACAAATTTTATGACTTAGGCTTCGTTTGGGACGGCTTTCTTACTGCTTCTGAAAGCACCTTGTAAATATAAAATTAAAAATTTTGTACTAAAAAGCTGTTTTTAAAACCAGTAAGAAAGCCGTCCCAAACAAAGCCTTAAGCATTCAAGGACGACCCTAGATGTAAAACATAAGGTATAACATTAGCATTATACTATAAAAGAAATTTACCTGTCTCTGTAATTGTTCAAGTCTAAGCTTTTCAGCATTTGCAAGCTCATATTCTCCATTTTCTAAATGCCTTTGATCGGGCCTTAGACGTGAATCTGTCGGTGGTAATTTGTCCGCCATACCAGGTGTTAACTCATTCAATGATATGGCAAAGGGCGTAAGGTTGTATCGGGTTTGGGTTGTAGACTTGTCACGCTCCCATAGAAGAACAGCCTCTGACATTGGATCATAGCCCTTCGGTTTAGTGCTAGAATCACCAAGTACATAGTACATTGCTTCATCCCACTTGCCCAACAACATTGCAACCTTGTTTCCCGTTCTATTATCTTGCACAAATCCATGCACCTAAATGTGAAAAAGGACTTCAAAAAACGTCAAGAAAAATTAAAAAGAAGAACAGATAATCCAATATTTTCACAAAAAAGTAATATTTAAAAGTGTTAGCTGATTAACAAGTAATAAATTAGAAATCAATCTATCTTAAGTAGTAACAATAACAAACAGGTGATAGAAATCGATAAGAAAAGGCAATTTAAATTTAAAAAAAAAAAAACAGTGAGATCGCTATGCAAATATACTTATAAATCAAAATTAGCAAAAAAAATGGATCTCTGAACAACAATGAACGACAGATTAAGAAGATGCCAAATTGGAAGTTGATTAGTGATAAGGTAAACAATGAAATTAAAAGAAAAATTGCGTTGAAAATATATTTCTTTAAACTTATTATTTAGTTTTAGAGTAATTAGAGTTTGGCTATTGTACATCACTAGGTCTGCACCTGTATGATGCAAATCAAGCAGTGCATGCAGCAAAAACTCTTGCACCAAGAAATCATCTTGACAGTAATGTTTAGTCCTCCTCTTTAAAAGGATTACAATTGACATGACTTTAACTTATAAGCAAACATACGATCTTGAAATTTATCAAAAAATATTTCATTTCAAGTTCACAATAGACCCTTAAAGCCCTTTTAAGAAAACTTTATTGCTAAAATATATGCTTGCGATTTTCAATATCAAAATGATAATCCCTAAATTCATCAGTTGAACCGATCATTTGTTGGTGAACAGAGAGAATTGACAAGGTTTGAATAATAAAATAAGGTTATCAAAATCTGATGATGACTATGTTGAAAGTAAATTTCAACTAGAGGTGGCTATCTTTTAAATGAATCCAAATCAGATAAAATGCCAATAAATTTAAAGTAACATGTATACCTCATAATAATGATTGCGTTGAAAGTGAATCTCAACCGAAGATGCTATATCTTTTAAATGCATCCAAATCCCAATAAAATACAAATAAATTTTAAGTAACATCAATATGACCCTGTTGATAGCTTGAACCTCAACCAGAGGGTATTACATCCATTATATGTCTTCAAATCTCACAAAAAACAAGCATATTTTACAGGTCTTTAACATCTATCGATAATGATCGTGTTGATAGTGAATCTCAATCATAGGAGACCCTGCAACTTTCTAAATGCCTCTTTAAACCATGTTACAAATGCTAATATTTTAAAGGGTCATCAACATCACTTTGATGATGACCGTATTGAAAGTGAATCTCAACCAAAGGAAAATATTCAAATTTCAAATAAATGCCCACAAATCCCAAATTAACTAATCAAAGGTGCTACTTTAATAAAAAATTAAAAAGCATGAAAATTCAACTCACAATGAGTAATCTCTTAAGAAAAACATGAAACAAAAATATATCCACCTTCCGCAAAAGTTTCTCGAGAGGAATAAATTTGAGAATAACTTCAACTCACAATGAGTTAATATCAAATCGATCATATCACAAAGATTCATTCTCAAATAATATCTCACTAGTGCTGATGTGGCACGTGTCCTCTAACTAATAGTTTTATCGTCAAATGGCACCAAAGATAAATGGCTATGACCAGAGCCCTCTATGGTTTTGTAATAAAATAGTACCACTAAATTACAGTCACGATCAAAGCTAGTATTTTACACAATGGCTCAAAACTCTCAAGTAATAAATCATAGGGTATACCTAACAGCGCATAAAGCTCTGTGTACTAAGGTTGACTCAAATATATCCCTTTAGGAAAACACTCATCCCAAGTCCACAAGAAAATTTTGGACAAAGCGACCCATGGATATCAACAATCATCCTTCAGTCAGATTAAGTCGAATACTTTATCTTATAAAGTAGACTAAAGATCACGATGGCCCATGATACAAAAACCAAGGGACCTTAATCAGGCTCATCATCATTCCCCAACCACCCGTTCTAAGTGTATGGTGATAAATTTTCAAACTTTATAACAATAACTTCAAACCTTTATCCCATTACGTGGGGTCGATTACATAAATCTTTTTTTCTCCATTTTGTCTTATTAAGAGTCAAGTTCGCATTTAAATTTAATAAAAAATATCATTTCCAATATTTTCTAACCAAGACTTTTAGGTCTACCTCTACATTTCATAATATAGGTCAAATCTTGATCCATGATAACTTGGGATCACATAGCCATAAAATCTTGATCGGGTTTATCATTATTTCCACCACCCTCTATTTAAGCTGAAGGCGACATATTTTACTCAATCCTAAAACCAAAATCGTTTAAAGGACTTAGCCCCTAACAACTACAACAACAACAACATCAAGCATTTATCCCACTACGTGGGGTCAGCTACATAAATCCTTTTTCTCCATTGTGCTCGGTTAAGAGTAAAATTCTCATTTAGATCTAATAAAGAAAAGTCATTTATAATATTTTCAAACTAAGTCTTTTTAGGTCTACATCTACCTTTCTTAACATAGGTTAAATCTAATATATCTACTCTCCAAACCGGGTCATCAGAAGGCTGTCATTTTATGTGAACAAACCATCTAAGGCGACTCTCTCTAATCTTATCTGCCACTGAAGCTACTCCAACCTTTTCACATATATGCTCATTTCATATCATGTCTCTAAGAGTAAAGCCACTCATCCACCTGAGCATCCTCAACTATGCAACACTTACTATTATGCTTCTCTTTTAATGGCCAACATTCTGCACCATTAAGTATTGTAGGTCTAACCACCACCTTATAGATTTTTCCCTTATGTTTGAGTGGTACTTTTATATCACACAACAAGCCAGATGCTTTCCTCCACTTCATCCATCCAACTTTAATTCTACTAATAATATCCCCATCAATTTCACCATCACTCTAAATATAAACATAAGATGTCTAAAATGTGTACTCTTATTAATGACTTGATCCCTCAAAGTCACAAGCCCCCCACTAGATCTATTACTACTAAAATTACATACCATATATTCGGTTTTAAATCTACTCAAACAAAAACCTTTAGACTCTAAGGTTGACCTCCATAATTCAAGTTTACCTTCAACTCCCTGTCTCCCTCTTTAGTCTTATCAACAAGAAAAATATCATCAGCAAAAAGCATACACCAAGGAACATCCTCTTGCAAATCTTTAATAAGAAGATCCATGACTAAAGCAAAAGGATATGGGCTTAAGGCTGATCCTTGATGTAGTCCAACTGAAATAAGAAAATACTTGGTCAAACAACCTTGTGTTTGAACACAAGTAACTCCTACATACATATCCTTAATGACTTGAATATAAGCATTATTAACCCCTTCCTTTTCTAGAACTCTCTGTAGCACTTCTCTTGGAACTTTAACATATGCTTTCACTAATTTAATAAATATCATATGAAGATGGTCCTTTTTCTCTCTATACTTATCCATCAAACCTCTCAATAAATGTATGGCTTTCATAATAGACCTACTCGGCATGAATCCAAATTGATTTTGAGAAACATTAGTATCACGTCGTAACATATGTTCCATAACTCTCTCACATAGTTAATAGTTTTAAAGTATGACACATCAACTTAATTCATCTATAATTTGCACAATTTTGTGCATACATTTATTTTTAAAGATAGGAATCAACACACTCATTCTCTGCACATCTGGCATCTTTTTAGTCTTCAAAATAATATTAAAAAGTTTAGTAAGCCAATTCCAAGAAATTCATTCATCTCCTAAGCATTTCAACATCTCTACTAGAATATCATCAGGTCCAACAATTTTCCCATACTTCATTTTCTTTAAATCCTCTCTAACTTCAGTTTTAGTACTATGCAGATAAAAATTTAAATTTTCATTTAGAGTGTTAAGGTCACTAAAGTCAATCATATTTTCACAATCTTCATTGAACAGCTTAGTAAAATATCTCATCCACCATTGTTGAATATCATATTCTAAAAAAGTACTTTTTGATATTCATCCTTAATGCACCTTCACTTGAACTGAATCCTTACTACTCCTATCACTTTGTTTGGCTAGCTTATACATATATCTTTCGCCCTTTTTAGCATATAACATATTATATAAATCATTAAAAGCTAAAGTATTTACTTCGCAGAATGCTTCTTAGACTAATTACGGGCAATTTTATATATTTCCTAATTTTCAAAATTATTGCATCTAAGCCAATTTTTATAACATAGTTTCTTATTTTTTATCTTTTCTTGCACATTTTGATTTCACGACCAACTATTTTTACTATTAGAAGCTTTTCCTTTTGATACTCCAAACACATTCTTTACAACATTATTAATTACAAGCTATTATTTCCCACATAATGTTAGCTTCCTCATGCACCGACAAAGTCTTAATATTGTATATCTTACTCTCAATATATTTTGTTAGAGTTCTTTAAATTCCACTATCAAATCCTAGAACAACGATATATTATATTTTTCATAATCTATCATTCACCTTAAAGCCCAAAACTAATAAGCAAAATTGGGTACATAAACATTCACTCAAAATAACTTTGGAATCTCTGCAATCTAAACGATCTATTATTCTTACAAGAAAATAATCAATCTGAGTTTTACTATATTTATTCTTATAAGTGACGAGATGTCCATCTCTTTTCATAAAAAATGTATTAGGAATAACAAAATCAAAAGCTAGAGCAAAATCTAATATAGTCTTATCACCTTCCTTACTCGTCAGATGAGGCTAACATATAAGATTTCAATGTCCATATGAGAGCATACAATCAAAAAAGAAAACATGGTGGCAAGAGTTTGAAATTTGCAAAGGTGAAGTATGATTGGAACTACCTTAATAGAAAAAGAAGCAGGCTTCCTATAATAAGTCAACTTTGCAACATTTAATTCACCAACTAACAGTACTAATAACATTTCCTGAATATTCTGACCAGATATTTACAGAAGTGAACTAAGGTGATATACAAATGTTAATAATTTAAAGTTTAGAGTGTTTGTTAGATAATACAGGAAGCTTAAAGTGGCACACAAGTGAACATCGCATATGATTGGAATAAAACCATTGATTATGGTGTTCCGCAAAACAAAAAATGTCACTTTAACCAACATAACACAAACCATCCATTCTTTACAGAGCTTTATGAAAAATCAAATTATCATAATTTAATTACCATAATTAATTTTAATGTTATTGATAAAATCGGCTGCCTTTAACACCATTTTAGACGCAACAATGTCAAGAACCAGCAATCAAAAATGCAAATTACCAAAATGGATGATCGCAATACTCTCCTAACATATATTCATGATTATGTGAATTTTTAGTTTATTTTTCCCTACTTAGTTAACTGATTTAAACTCATATAACCAAAATTAATTGAAACAAGGTTATCCTTCCACATTCTTGCAGCAAAGTGTAAGGCAAATAAATTTATTAGCCTTAAGAACTAACTGAGATTCATAAAGTTTTAGAATATAGTTTTAAATGCAACAAAAAATAATAAACAAAATGGGCATTCCATACTTGAGAGAATTGGTGAAGGATGTCCTGTGACATCACAAGCTTCTTAACAAAAAGCTATTCCACTTGATGGCACCAATTGATATTGCATAAAATAAAAGCTGAAATAGAGTTAACAGTCGTTGAGATGTCACAGATACCTGATGGGGATTACGATCAATGATAGACTGCTCCTTGAATTTGAGTTTACAAGAATACTGACCACAGCCTTTTATGCGCATAGTACCATAGTGATCACAATATATTTTACCGAGTATGATATTATAAATAGATGTTGTCACTTTACTCCACTGGAATGTTTCCCCATCTTCAAATTGAAGTGTTAGTATTCCAATAGGATCAAGCTGAATAGATCGACCCCAGAACTTCCCTTTCAAATTGGAATCACCCCAGAATTTCCATCCTCTACCTTCACAGTGACAGGCAACAACCATTGGATGGTGACTCACCTAAACAAAATTCAAGACATTTAATATTTTCCAGCATGCAGGATGTGAAAACCTAGTTATCATTGATATGAAAGGACAAAAAATACATGGCATAAGAAAAATAAAAATAGTAAAAAAAATTATAAAAAAAAAATTTTTAAATACAAGGCAAAACATCCGGTCATACTAGCATGTGACTAATAGCAAAATAAAGTTCAACTATCATTCTATCAGACAAAAGAAAGACATCATCACCAAATGTAAAGTGAAAGGAAAGAAGTAAACCTTCTCAGAAAAGAAACGTAAGCCTTTATCTGGATAATCAGCCTCATATGTTTCCCCAAGAAGAGGATTGAAAGGTTTGCACTGCCGACCTTCTGTTGAAGCATATCCTGATACTGCAAAGGCTGCAGTGTTTAGAATCCTCATCAAGTTGTTCCCCTGCATAGCGTGCATTTAATGCTTTTAATTCTTCTATGTTAAAATCAGAGTATAGTAAACAAATGCAATATGAACAGTACAAAATTAGTCTAGTATTTACATTCACCACATGAAGCAAGTTACTCAGCATTACAATGAATGCATACACATCAAAAGAAAGAAAGATGTGCAAGTAGAAAAGTAATTGATTATTAACCAGCAATTAAGAATGAGGCTTGATCTTATAATATCTTTTTGCACAGAAATATATGATAGGAAACACTTGTAGCTCTAAGTATTTCCTATCAATCCTCAGAAAACAGCAAAAATTCTCCACAAAAATCCACACAAAACCACAAAAACAGTAGATAATTTGTATTTATTTGATCAAAGGGAAACGGGAAATTCCAAGATACAATTGATCCTCTATTCTAGAGGAGGATCTATCTCTCTCAAATCTCTAGACACCGCTAGAGCCCAAAACCTAAGCCTAAGAGATCTCAAATTTCAGCCAAATTCAAGATTCCCTAATCCTAGGAAAATAAACTATTTAATGCATACAATCCAAAAGAAATTTCTCTACATTCAATTTTCCCTCCCAACTCCCTCAAAAAAACTTTCTAAAAAGCTCTTTGGAACCTGGCGGTTTGCTCGGCATATGCAGGAGGTGGAGAATTCCGCCTCTATATTTGACCGGCTGGACTGGTCTATAAACATATTGATAGGATATCGAGAAAATCTCAAGTTTTATTAAATAGTGAACGTATCAAGAATCCATATACAATATTCATTGAGGCTTCAATAGTGCAGTACATATGTCTGATAACTAACCAACCCTTAGAAGCATGCTCAATACGGCCTATTGTTATAGGGAAAAGTTGCTTTGGGGCATCAAAGGGATATAATAAGGTTTCAGCATGGTGACATTATGAGCTCTTGAAGAAAAGCTCATAAGGTATCCCTGTGATAAAACATGTTGTGATAACACATGCAAAAAAAAAAGACAGATAATATAACAAGATTTTCCAGATGTCTAAATCAGGGTGTGTTGAGTTTGAAGGTCCGAAACATCCAATGAGTAGACCGTAAACCCTCATAAATAATTACCCCTATCTAGAGGCTCCCATTTAAGGTTATTGCTCTACTCTATGTTTCAAATTACTTTATGAAGATCTCGCTCACAAATATTTGTCTCCCATTGTGGTGATTTGTGAATGGGGCATGGACATGAGGATGACCGAGTGTTGTAAACATAAACCATAATCAAAAGAGTCAATGAGCGTTGGTTGTAAAAATATAGAATTAAGTTAAGAAATTGTATTGTAACTACTAGTAGCAAGTCAAGAAGCATGTTTTGATTACTCGCACAAACCCTATGCTTCTTGTAACTTCTTGCATTTGAGTCAGTTAGCCTTAGCTATGACTATTTGGCACCATATCAGCAACCAATGATTATCTCCTCGAAATCAATTTTTCATGCAATGGTGAAGTGATAGATAAGAGAATGGCATTTCCCTTCAGCGTAAAGGGTGCCCCTTGAAGCTGAGACCAATTTTCCCAAGGGGTGTATGGATACTTAAGCACATATTTCAATATAGCTAGTTTTATGCCACCCCCTTAGGTGGAGATTAATGTCCGTACTTGTCACGCCTTAAAATAAAAGCAAAGAAGTTGATTCCATATCACCTCTTGTAGTAGAGTGGTGGATTCCGGATTAGCTCTTTTAGCACCTATCCTAATTTTTCAAGCTTTGCATGTGAGTATAGAGAAAGGAGAATCTAAATATGATATTTATTGATTTAGAAAAAGGTATATGATAAAATTCCAAGAGAAGTGCTCTGAAGCGTTCTAAAAAAAGGAATTAATTACACCTATATTCAAGTCATTAAGGATATGTATACATGAGATGTTACTTGTGTTCAAACACAAGGTGGTTTGACCAAATAATTTCCTATTTCAGTTGGATTAAATCAAGGATCACATTTAAGCCATATATTTTTTATTTTGTCATGGATGTTCTTACTAGATATTTGCAAGAGCGCGAGCATTAAGTGTAAGTTCAGTAGTTAGAGATCTAGCGGTGGGATTGTGACATTGGGTGATCAAGTCATTAAAAAGAGTGTATGTTTTATACGTCTCGGGCCTATTGTTCAGAGCGATGGTGAAATAGATAGGGATATTATTAGAAGAATTTAAGTTGGATGGTTGAAGTGGAGGAATGCACCAAGCTATTGTGTTATAGAATAGTGCACCTCAAATTTAAGGGAAATTTTCTAAGATGGTGATGAGACCTATAATGATTCATGGTGCGGAAAGTTAGCCACTAAAAGAAAAACATAAAATTAAGTTGAATGTTGCAGAGATAAGGATGCTGAAGTAGATGGGTTGCTTTACAATTGGAGACAAAATGCGAAATGAGTATATATGTAAGAAGGTTGGAGTAGCTCCAATGACAAACAGGATTAAAGGAGTTTCCCTGGATGATTTGGTCGTGTAAAAGGTTGGGCTTCCAATGACCCTATCAAGACAGTAGATGTATAGATCATGCCTATGTTAAGAAATGAACGGGTAGATCTAGAAAAAACTTGGTTATAAAGTGTTAAAAATTATTATTTTTATTAGATTTAAATAAGAATTTGAAGCTTCATAGGACACAATAGAGAAAAAGGATTCATATAGCTGACCCCACAGTGGTATAAAGGCTTGTTGTTGTAATATTTGTTTCTATATATATATTTATATCTATATACATAAAAGTGTACTAATCATCATTTTTACTCAAATATTTTATTTAATAAGATATTCATCAAGATCATCTCAACAATTGAAAATTCAACCCGACATGTCATTTTCATTTGGAATGCACTTTCAAATATTTTAAAATTGGCAAAGGAAATGAGATATTATCAGAAAAATTATTTGATGCCAACAATGTTTTATTGTGCCGTTTTATTTTGAGAAGATTAAACATAATTTATTTAGAGTAGGTTCATTAATTTGACTCAAAACATATTAGTTCCGATTAAAACACAAAATTTTGCATGCTTATATATACTTAATTCGAGCCTATGAATTATGAAATATTTTAAAACTCGGCTCATGACTTTAGATGTATGTAAAAAGCTTGAATCATTTTCATTCATTCATTTTTTATTGATTTATTAGTTTTTTTTTTTTTAATTACTAATATAATTGACAACATTAGGCAACAAAAATATTATATAGTTTTCTGACACAATGAATGTGAAGTGGCGTTTGGAGATATGAGGCACTAACAACATTTCTTCTCATGGCCAATTAGGCGGTTACCAAGTGCTAGAATAGATTCAATTGTAAATCTCTAAGATGATTAGAGGTGAGAGGCTTGTGAGGACGATAGTAATGAAACTCGATCAACTGCTTGAGTACTAAAGCGGGATTAAAAAAAAAAAGTTGGTTGCCTAGAATGCTATGATGGGGGCCAATGTGAGTGTGCTAAAGTCAGATCACTAGACTTGAGACAGGCGATGGCTGTCAATTAGAGTAAAGTCTTAAAGATGTCCTAGAGAAGCTAAAAAGAAGAGGCCATCAATGAGAAGCCACCAAGCTAATGATATGAAGGGAGGTTTTTAGGTGGTTAGGAGTTCAAGAAAAAAAAAAGATGGAGAATGATAAGTTAACAGATGACATAATAATATATTATTATTCAAATATTTTGAGATGAAAATACAATAATAATGATATGTTATTATTATATTTAATAATCACATTATTTATTTATGAGGATAGTGAATAACATAAGGCGTCTATTCTTCCCTACCTCCTAATATTGACAAAAGAGGATTATCTACACTGATCTACCAAATCTGAGTGAAATGTAATATCTCCGTGCACCTCTTTTGATGCTTATCATGATATTTTGATAAGATTTCGAGATGATTGGTACCATTATTTACTAATGACAATATATTTAATTAACCTACAATAATTAAATCACATTAATAATGATCCTAAAAAATTAAAAGCAATTACAAAGATAAATTTAACATAAACAAGATGCCAAATATCTTCATTTCAAGCATCTAACTCTTAAATTGGTATACCAAAGTTAGACAGCATAATAAAAATTAGGGGTTTATCAAGCAAACGTCAAAGGACATAGTGGATAGGCTAATACTTTACCAAAAAAAAAAACAGTTAAATTATGTTCTATCATCATTTTCTTGGGAATGCACCTATTTTCCATTATATTCTTCTATCTCATGTTAATGAAGAAGCATTGGAAATTCAAGTCAATTTATTTATCACCCCTACTTTTCCCTGTTTCTATTCTTTTCTTCCAACCATATCTTAGTAAATATATGTTCAATATGCCTGAATAAAAAGTTGTCTTTTCTGGAGAGAGGCAGCAGTCAGCAAGTGGTGGATAATCATTAACTTAGTTCAAATGGTTGAACCTAGTAAGAAAACCCTTAAAAAATAAAGAAAATTATAAAAAAAGGTATTAAACAAGTGGTCACAAATCATGAAACTTAAGTTCATCATCTAATGATCAGGACAAAAATCATAGCTAGTTTGATTACACGCAATTACAGATAAAAGATCACTACAAAAAAAAATGGTATTGAAATAAAAAAGTAAAGGGTATGATCATGATCTTAACCTATCGGAACAACACGTGATGAAAACCCCGATAAGCAATTGCACGTAGCACAAAAACTGAGTAAGAATCAAAACCTGCTTTCCCCATTCCAATGCTCGATCAACCAAGTATGAGTATTCCAAATCTTCAAAGCATTTTTGCAAAGAAGAAAGAGGCTCATTAAAGTAAACTGGAAGACAAACTCCAGAGAGATCTTTTCCAATGTTTTCCTTAATTATCGACCAAAGACCAATAGGCTTTTCTTTTTCTTTTGGTTCTGGCAACTTGTCCCTCCTTTTAACAAAGGGGTATTCTATGGTGTTGACTCCATCATTAGCTTGCATCACGTCAGGAAAGTAGAAGGCTTTTCCATTTACACTAAGACCTCCATTACATTTGGATTCCTGACTACGATATGAAACGCTTCGCAGAAATTCTGAAGACAAGAAATCTCTTGTATCAAAATAAATTCCATCATCATCATCAGTTTCACCATCTGCTCCTTGGCTTTCAATGTCTACATCAGAATCACTTGCACTGCCATCTGACATAACTGAATAGAAATCTGATAACAAAAAAAAAATTAAGTTGAAGCCAGATTCTCAGAAAATTTATTTTCAAGCAATATGAAGAGAAAGCCGAAAACAGAACTGCGGGGCATAAATAAAACAAATAGAATGTGTTAAGGTTGTCCTAAATAAATCCAAATCATTAAGAACATTTGCTAGAAATAATCCTAACAAGAATATAGAATACAACCTAGAAGATTGCAAGGCCAATAGTAAAGCAGCAGCAGCAGCAGCAAATGCTTCCTTAACCCAGGTAATTCAAGTCAGTTTAATTAATCTTTCTTGTGATACTTTCTAACAAGGAAATGCACTTGGATTCAATTCTAATTTAGTAAAATTCTTATCAACAAACTTATGACCAAATAAGTTTATATTTCCCTTTCCTTAGCCAGCTTTTCAAATAAGTTCTACCCTCACATACATTATCACAAGATTTAAGGACGCAAATGCAACTACAGTTATAGGAAAATTTATGTTTCTCCATAAATTTTCTTGTTTGATATATATTGTTCGATGAATTCCCAAGTGAAAACCAAATCATGACATACGTTTTCCCATTTGGAGTTGATTCACATTCAGTAAAATCCTTCTAAACAACTTAAAACCAAGACGCCTTTCCATCACAACCGTTTAAAAATGTTCCTCAGCTACACTTTCAGCATGCGAACTTACGGATGTTGTGGTTAGGAAGATATGTGTTCTACCACATCTCCTTTTTATATATATTATGATTTTCAGCTTCCCCAATCTCAACAAAGACCATAGATCTTCATCCACAAAATAAAAAACTAGTGAGGCAAAGATCTACTTGATGCTACAAGTTTCAAATAAATTTGTATGTTTATATATATCAAGAGCGTTCAAAATTTTCATCAATGAATGGCCTGGAAATCAACTATCATGTACCCATAAATAATTCAAATAAAATGAAACTTATTTAGATACCCAAATTACAGAATAAGATAAACATTTAGTCTTCAGAAAGCAAAAGTTAATTAGCACCCGTTTGCAGCGTCTTAACTTATGCAGCGTGTTCATAATTTCTTATTCCAGATACATAGGCAAACTTTTGCCAGACTTTATCATTTTAAACGTCTAGCTAGTTACCAAATATTTAGACAGGTAAATAGTCTAGATTTCCATTCTAGAGTATCATTGAACAAACTTTAATGGAAAGACAAAATCACATGAAACTATCCATAGACCAGAATTTTCGATCACTTTATACCCATGATCTGAGTAATTCTTACAAAGTTACAAGCAAGGTTGATTAGTTTCTAAAGTCTTAAGTTGATCATTAACTTGATTTATTCAGTGCTCATTTAGTCTTATTTTGCTACACTAATCATTTTTACAAAGTAATCATTATCAATCCCTTTGACGATTGACTAACTGACCTAGATATTGAGTCCCACTTCAAAATAACATACTGTCAAAGCATTGATCATCGATACTAATTTGATGCAAGGCATCTCAAGGTCTAGTGTTCAATAAAGCAAACATAAAATAAGATACCCAAGAAACACACAATAGACCATAATTCAAAGATTTCATCTTTTAATTTGAGTGAATATTGGTCACCTCTATGCAAAACCAAAAAACACTCAAAATTACTCCAAATAATAATTTAAGAGTCAAAATCTGAAATTTCACATTAAACTTAACCATGGACCTTCATAGAGACTTGAGGATTCATGGCACAAAAAAATGACAACGAACTTGAATAAATCTAAATCACACACACAAAATAGAATTTGAAAAGAATAAGAATAGAAGTCATCAAATTGAAAATTTAAGTCTTATGCCAGTATCAAACGAAGCATCCAAGAGAAGATGTCATAAAACTTACATCACACTTGAATTTACATCCAACCAACAAAGTTGAGAAGAAAACAATAAGTTCTATTGATGGGGACATCAGAGCTTGGAGGATTTATCACCGTAGAAGCTGGAGATCTACGACCTTGATTGAGTCTTTATATTTTTAGTTTTCATATGTTGTAGGAGATTTATGTGGTGCTTGTTAGACCGGTCCTCTATGGACCGACCCAATCCTTTGGGCCGGCTCGTTTCTTTTACAGGCGACGGACAACTCGAGCGGAAACAGAGGGGAAGCCAGCGGAATCGTGAGGAGCAATTCGGGTGGGGCCCACTTGTTTTTGAATTGGTTTCTTGGAGCCAAAAGGAGTGGAAGCAAGGGCAATTAGGTCCTTTTATATTATTTTTGAATTGTATGCATTTAGTAGGAGGAAAAGGAGAGATTAGGGTTAGGTGATTTTTGCTTGGAAGTTTTCTTGTTCTTCTTTGTGGGCTAGGGCTCTAGATCGAATTCTAGAGATTGAGAGAGTGCGATCCTCCTCTCGAATAGAGGATCCTTGTATCTTTGCTATTTTCCTTGCATCTACTAGTAAAATACAAGATTTTTCTCCACGTTTCCCTCAGTTTTTCCCTGTTTTTCTACTGTTTGTGGCTGTTTTACTGCTGTGGACAGCAGTTTGCTTTGAGATTTGTTGCCAAAGTGATTAGGAAATACTTGAAATCAAGTATTTCCTATCAAATTGGTATCAGAGCACATCTTGGGACCGATCGTGGCTGATTTTTACAGATTTCGGTGGCTGAAATTTGTACGGCAAGGAGGATTTTGCTGAATTTTTTTTTCCAGATCCAGAATTTTGCCTTAAAATTTTGGTTCCTTTTTGGATGGTTACCAAGAAGGTAGATGCTTTGGAGGAGAGAATTGAAGGAGAAATAAATCAAATCAAGGAGACCGTGGAGGAACGAATGTGTTCCATGGAGGGGCAAGTGGCCGATCTACGGGAGATGATGAAGAAGATGTTGGAGTTTCAAACCCAATCGGCGGCGTCTGATGCAAAAGGGCCAGCAGCAAAGAACACCAACTCTGAAATCCATCGGGAGGAAGAGGAGGTGGAAATCGTGGAAGGGAGTAGGGGAAGGCCTCATTTGGAGACTTTTCAGAGGGGGAGAGAAGAGGAAAATATGGGGAAAGGCAAGGCTACGGAGGCATGGAACCAAGAGGTGCTGGTTGGGAGCATCGGGAGGGTTATCATGGGCGCCGGGAAGCTGCTTTTGAAGATCGGAGAGGGGATTTTGAAGGGGGATTGGGACAAGGCAGAGCAAGGGAAGATCGGGAGACATGGGGGGGTCCAGGCACATGGGAGAGGGGAAACTATGGAGGT